AAAAAGACATATGCCACCAGAAGTCTACAGTGGTAGTGACAACTGAGTATACTGACAATATTTTCAGTGAAAATTAAACACAGAACATCCCTCCTCTGATGTCACAGTGAAAGGAATAAGTACGAATAGAGAGAGCTAGAATGTATTATGTTACAGGTAAGACAAGCCTATCACAGCCGAGAAGTATTGTACATTCAAACAGAAACTGCAACAAGCAACGCTGTGATCCAGATCATCATGATTTATTGCATTCACCTACAAATGGTCAATACTTGTTTTTGTAGGAGCAAAATATATAAAGGTTACGGAGGCTTTAAAAAACACTGCTTTGATTTTATTACTGTTCTAGTATTTGTCAAAAGTGAATGTTCTTTATCTGGCCTACTGGAGTTGTGCAGGAGCAGCCACTATGCAGGACAGCTTTAATACCCCCCAAAACCTAAGACAATGCTGTTTCCATTAAAAAAGACACAACCTTCTAACTTCTACCAGAAGGGCTGTCTTCCTGCAATGGTTCAGCTAGCTAAAGTTTCCCTAGGACACCAGATGCTCTCCTGCCACTTTTACTCTCCTCTCCCTCCTCTTACCCACTGCCAGTCCTCCTCTGCTGGCAAGGGAAACATAAAAGCAGTCCTCACCTCTTACTGAGCAGAATATATTCTGCTGTCCAAACCAACAGAAAGGAGACATATCAAAAACAGAATTGCACCTCAATCATAAGTGTTACAGTTATTTTTAATACTAATTCTATTCTATTTTCCATTATGTCTACTAACCTCTTTAAAACTCAAAAATAATTGATTTCCCCCTACTGATTTTGTAATTTCCATTTCACAAAAATTGATTCCCTTGCACCCCTCTGTTTCAAATCCAGCTCAAATTAATACATTTTTAATTTGTTTCCTTTGAGCCCTTGCAAGATCAAAGATGGAAAACACAGCTCTGGGAATCTTGCAAAATTTGTCAGTTAGCAGCCTGATAGCAGAAGGAATGTATTCTGAATTTTATTATTTATTTTTTTCCAGTAACAAAGGACTAGATGTAAAAATGGGTGAAAAAAAAAATTGTAAGAGCTTTATGAACAGAGGCTAACAAAAATCTTCACCTAATTCAAGACATCCTACACAATTTAGTTCTGCTCTCCACTGCACTAAAATGGAGCTACTATTTAAAATCCTATAAATTTTGTCACAAGGACAGAGACTTTCTCTGATCTCTTCACAAAGCCATGTGGTACAATTAATATAGGTGTCCAGTAAAAGTTTGGAAGAAAGCTTGCCCTGTCTGATGAAGATAAATAAATTCACTCATTATATTTTTCTCTCTTCATATAATCTCTATATTCTTCCTCACTGAATACCCACTTCCAGTAAATTAATGAACCAATATTTATCACTGTTTGGAAAACTTTTCTGATGAAAACATCCAGGATGACACGCAGCAGTGGTATACCTAAATGTCAGATTTTACTGTCATATGCAGGTGGAAATTGAAGAGACCGCAGATTAATAGGATCCACAGTACTTAAATAATTTTGGAATTTTGAGCTCCTCATATTGAAATGTCAGTCTGCTCTGTCATGGCACAGCTAATTCAAAAAACATTAATGTGCTTTTTCATGCAGCACTAACTTTGTTTAGTTGTCAGCTTAGATATTGTTTGTGAAATTTTCTATTGTCTATGCTTCCATAGACACAAAAATCTTTGTTTGTAAACTACATCTACTGAAAATGGAAATGTCCTTCTTGTAAGATGTAAGTCAAGAATGCCATGTTTTTCAATCAATTCTTAAAAACAGTTTTATGTATCCTGGCATATCAAAGACAGAAAATCTAGGAGTAATAAAAATTTATCACAGATAGCTAATTTGTTCTGCATTAAGAAAACTGTTGTCCTTTATGATTCATGCTTGTGTTCTGGAATGGGATATCTAAATACAGCAAACCAAGATAATTCTGTGGAACAGCCATTCTTTAAAGTTTACAGAACAAAATACATTATTTACTTAATTCCAGAATATTGAATAAGATGCGTTAATAGCCTTGACGTTTCCAGTAGCACTCAGAGTAAAGCATCACATTTGTCAGCATCCAGATGTTTGAAAATTTATCTCCCTTATACTTGTCAGTGACTTTTTAATGGATTTTAAACCATTTTTAGCATCCAGCCGTGAATAAACAATTGCAATTCGCAGTTGTTGAAGGGCCTGTTGAAGAACAGGCACTATATAGAATTTGAGGATTATGTTTAATTAACAGATAATGAGATTTTATATTGAGTAGGAACCTGAAGCTCTAAAATGAAATGTTTCCTGAAAAACGATAAAGCAAATACTTATCAAGAGTCCGTTAAAGTGCCTGTTCATTCCTGTTTGGAATACTATGTTTTGTAGAAATGTTCAAATTCTCAGGATAACAGAGGTTATTAAGCAAACGCTTTTATGTGTTACCCTGGTGTTACCTTGTGTAACGTCACTAATTTACAAAGATTTGTACCAATATAACTGAGAACATCTTTGCAATATAAAATGTCATTTTTTCAAGAAGGTAAAATATTGGCTCAGATTTGAGTAAAAAGTCTTTACCAAAGGAAGTCAAAGATCCTGGAGAAATATACGCTGAACTCTGGTAGCATAAACTGTTCTATCTGTCTTAGCTGCCTCGTTGCACAGGTGCAGAAAGGGCAGTCTCCACTGCCCTCCATCCAGATCATCCCATTTCTGGTACAGAAATTTCTTCTAACTTTACTTCATTTTAAGATAGTTGTCATTTACTCTTCATTTTTTTTTACACTGAATGACCAAATAGTAGAGGAAAGGACTAGATGGTTGTGGTGTTAAGGTGCCAGAGTACTCGGTCCAGTTCCAGCTGTGGCATGTACTTAGAAACACAGAGCAGTCTGGGTTGGAAGGGACATTTAAAGACCATCTAGTCCAACCCCCCTGCAGCGAGCAGGGACATCTTCAACTACATAAGGTTGCTCAGAGCCCCATCCAACCTGACCCTGAATGTTCCCAGGGATGGGGCATCTACCACCTCTCTGGGAAACCTGTTCCAGTGTTTTACCACCCCCATTACAAAAATTTCTTCCTTATATCCAGTGTAAATCTTCCCTCTTTTAGTTTAAAACCATTACTGCTTGTCCCATCACCACAGGCCCTGCTAAATATTTGTCTCCATCTTTCTTCTAAGCCCCCTTTAAATACTGAAAGGCTGCAATAAGGTGTCCCTGGAGCCTTCTCTTCTCCAGGCCGAACAGCCCCAACTCTCTCAGCCTCTCCTTGTAGCAGAGGTGTTCCATCCCTCTGGTCATTTTTGTGGCCCTCCTCTGGACCCGCTCCAACAGGTCCATGTCTTTCCTGCACTGAGGGCTCCAGAGCTGGACACAGGACTCCAGGTGGGCTCTCACCAGAGCAGAGACCTCAATAACCTAAGACATAAATCCTCTCAGAAACTGAGTTAGCTCTCTCTATCTACCTAAAGCTGAAACCTTTTTAGGGACAGGTGTATCTTGTGACCACAACTTCCTATATGTTGCAACTGTAGAAACAATAACATAGTTCTAACAACAACAACAACAAACCAAACAAGAAAAACAGCTCTTCCTGGAGCACACACAGAGGGAAACAAACAGAGGAATCGGATGAGGTTTTGGTTTTGGAACACTGTTCTACTCATTATGGTATCCTAGGGTGCATTAAGAAGAGTGTGACCAGCAGGTTGAGGGAAGTTCTCCTCCCCCTCTACTCTCCCCTAGTAAGGCCCCATCTGGAGTACTGCATCCAGTTAAAGAAAGATGA